TTTTTTTGGGGGGGGGGGGGGGGGAAGCACCTTTGAGACAACTATGACCTGGATGACTGGGAATCTCCATAGACATTAAGCTAGATTGTTGTTCAGGATCATGAAGCACAGGATACGATCATAAATCTTTCTGTAGAAAGCAACACTCAGGAGATGTCAGCAGAAGAAGAATCAAGGGCAAGGCTCAAGATACCCAATTTGTGTTTATTACAGACATGAGAAGCCCTAATAATGAAGTTCAGCTATCATCTACCATGCAGATTCTACCATGCAGCTTGCCCTATTATCATCCTTCTCTTCTGCTTTTTACACACATTTTTGGCCAGCCGTATGGTTTTAGGAGTCCCATTTATATTGAAAGCTTTTGCTTTTCTCTGGCCTCAAGCTTCTCCCACTAGCTGTAATCCACTGTTTACAAGTGAGAGTGATTGGAGATGTTGAAGAAACAGATTTTGCACAGGTCTGGTAAAGAGAATTGTAATTTGTGAAGGGATAATGCATAGACAGGCCCGCCTTTCCTTAATTTCCCTTAGGCACTTGTTAGAAGAACAGCTGGAATATTTCAGTCAGTTATGAGCACACAGGTTCTATAAGTTACAAAACTTTAATGAAATTGAGTATTATTTGTCTTCACTTTAACTCAAACACTCATTTCTCCAACACCTTGCCTGACTCTTACAATCAAAGTTGGCCAAAAATTTTGGGGATCCTCTAACTAAGTCAAGAAGTTGGAAACTTGCTTCCAGTCCTTTATAGTCTTGCCAATTGTTGGGTTAATTGTCTTTTAGAATACAATTCTTTGTCCATTTTAAATGTTTCTTTCTCCAACAGGTATCCACGCTTTTCAAGGACCTGGCTGTTGGTAATTCCAGGAGATTGTTTTCCTATTCCCAGCAGTTGTCAATTTTTAAGAAAATGTGAATTGTTGCTTTCTTGCTTCCAGATAATCACATCTTGAAATGAGGTCAAGTGTATCTCCTCCTAGGTTTGTTGGACTAGAGATTATTTGGGACAAACCCATGGTTGTCATGGAAGCTATGAACTGTCTGAGCCCTCTCAGAATCCACATGCAAGCCATGAAAATTGAAGTACTCAAAACCTGATGTAAGACAGATCTGGAGCTCTTGCTGGGCTGCTAAGCAACCTGTGTCAGGACCTGGTAAGAAGAATGCATCTTTTTTTGACCCCATTTGGTTCTCTCACCGGTGTTTGTGATCACTGATGTGGTATCCTCTCAGATCACCTGCTTTAGAGCCATGGTGGTACAATGTTAGAATGCAGCATTGCAGGTTGCACAGCCAGGAATTTCATCCTGACCAGCTCAAGGTTGACTCAGCCTTCCATCCTTCCCAGATCAGTAAAATGAGGAGCCGGATTGTTGGGGGCAATAGGCTGACTCTGTAAATTGCTTAGAGAGGGCTGCAAAGCGCTGTGAAGGGGTATATACCGTAAGTCTAGTTTCTATTGCTATTGCATATTATCCTTCCTTCCTAAGTGGTCCATTCCATTTAGCAGTAGTGGAAGGTAAGGCAAGTCTGTAAATGCTCCATAAAAGTTTCCTCCTGATATTAAAGACCGGATTCAAGAGATGTATTCTTTATCATATTTTGAAATATTTCTATTGTAAAAATAATAGCATGGAACAATAGGTTGTATAGATTTAGATCTACTCACCTTGCAGCTTGATTATTGCAATGTGGTCTACACGAGGCTGCTCTTGAAGACTTATTTGGAAGCTTCAACTGGTCCAAAATTCAGTGGTGCAAACAGCGATGTGCATGCTTTGGTATATCCATGTAACCTCTCTGTTTCCCATGCTTCACTGGTTGCATGTTTGCTTCCAGGTACAGCTCAAGGCACTGATCATTATTTGTAAAATTCTACATAACATAGGGCCTTGTTACTTGGGGCATTGCCTGTCTCCCAGAGCATCTGCCTGTGCCTCTCGCAGGGTTGGCACACTCTGGAGTTCGTCAATTAAAAAATGCCATCTCTTGGGACTTTACCTTCTTTGCTGCAATGCTTGCCCTCTGAAATAAGGTTCTTCCTGAGATCTGGATGGCTTCCATTCTGCTATTGTTTAGAAGAATTGTGAAAACCTGGCCTTTAACTGAGCCTTTAGCGAGGGAGAGTGAGACCCCTTGCTTCATTACACTTGACATCTTTGATCTTTTATTGATTTTATTGTAATTTCTTTCTTTGATCATCAGGAGCTGTCATTGAGAGTTGGGCAGCATACAAATTTAAATCATCATCACCATATCATCATCATCATCATCATCATCATCATCATCATCATCCAAAACTGCTGGGGAGATTCTCTACAGNGGCACTTTAAAGTGCCCCCCAATTTTAGATTTAATTTCTGCTTGAGGGTTAAGAGATACAAATTTTGCAAAATGATTTCTTCAGCACAAGAGAAAATAAATTACAAGCAACATTCTTTATTTGATATTACTAGGCTTGCAACAGACTTTAATACAAACTAAGAGAAGACGTCAAGAGAGAAAGAGATGCTGAAAGAGTTAACCAAGGCCTGGATGCCAATGTTTCATTTGCAAATGCCTACAAAATAAAATTCTGATTGGTTTTTCTAGTTATTAAACAATACTATTTTCCCTTATAATTACAACATGAATAAAGATAATAATGACTAAGTCAAAGAATTATTTAATTTAATTTTATTAGATAATTTTAAACTTATTACATTATTTTTTTACAAATAATAATTTTTGCCCAAATGTTAATTTAATCCTAATTTCATATTCAATTTTTGTCTGTGTTTAAATTTAGCTAGCTGTAAAATTCTGGGCATTTAGAATATTTAGTGTTGGATTGTTTAAAAATCAATCAATCAAAAAAATAAATAAATAAAATTATTTTGGTATTGATGGTAATGGCATAGTTAGTATCTTAGTATATAAAAGAACCTTTTTTTCTTTCAGTTGTTGAAACATCAAATTTGTAGAAATAAAACATAAAATATGTAAAAATGCAGAATACCATTTTACCTGATCTGCTGCAATGAAATAGGCATTTTGATTTGTTGATAATAATCAGGATATTTTTTCTTTGAGGGCAAATGAAAAAAGGGTTCCGATATAAGTTGACCCTGGTTGTTTCGGCAGTTTCTAACTGTATCATAAAGTTGATAGAGAGGATTGGATGTATCCATAAATGAAACAATGCTTTCAGCTTCAGATTCTCCTTCTTCATAACGGGCAGCAGCTAGGAATGACAAACAGAAATATATGCCATTACTATATTTTTCTCCTTTCCCTGTTCATATGTTCTAAATATGACTAGCGCACCAAACTGAGAGTTGGATTTAATAATTTTGATTCATAAAAAGACGTTTGAGTGTATATCTCATATTTTTAAACAAATTCTAATATCAAAGAAAAAAAATTCTTAGCAGATATGAATAGTGTTTCTTCAATTCCTACCAGCTAAAACAGCATCTTCATCACTTTCAGATCCATATTGCAGTGTCATGGTTATTGCTGATAAACGATCGCCTTGGACAGCTCTTTTGTTACTGTGAATTTTTAAAGGAAAGACAGGAAATAAATGAAAAACCCCTTACGATGGGAGTATAGCATCTACATTTAAAATAGTAGCTATACTGGCACAGTATAACAAATACAGGTAGAACTGAAGGTTAGCTCTTCCTATGGATTTTTAAATTATTATTATAAACACAAAATCTCTATGCTGGGCTTTACAGGAGCTAATGCAAGATTGTTTTGGCTCTCCAGAAGTCTCTTGCAAATTTAACATAATGTAAAATGGTGGGTTCCCAAGAGGGGGGGGGGTGTATTTCATAATAATAAGAGGCAACTCAGTCAAGATATTATGTGTCAGACAAAGAGGGTGAAGACAGCCCCTCCCTAATAGCTTACGATGCAGATAATGTACTCAATCTGGCAAGATTATATCTGTGCATGTGCAACAAGAGACTTAGCTTGGAAGAATCATGATGTGTCTTCCTTGGCTTTGGGCCTGACATGTGCCAACTTTTATAAGTTAAAAATGAAGACATTTTCATTTTATGTAAGGTTGAAAGCCAGATGAGAAAATAATACAATAGCTTTTGGGGCAGTATTCTTAAATGCTATTGCTAGATTACATTAAAGGAAAAGGAGTATATTTGATATTACATGCTACTTAGTCCAAAACAAACTCAATATTTCAACATAACTATAGTGTTGGTCAATTCTTTTCTTCCTAGAGTGGTACGAAAGAAGAAAAAAAAATGTTGGCAGATTGCTTCATGAGTGATACCTAGACATGGGTATTTTTCTTTGGTCTTTGAGAGAAATGTGTACTTTCTATTGAGTTAGTTAAAAAAGGGGGCCACTGAAAGGGAATTCTACTAAGAAAGTAAATGCATTCGATTTAGATGAACATTCCCTTTTTCTTGAACAATGAGGAAAAGGAAAGGTGAGCCTGGACATTCTTACATGAATAATATACCTGGTTTACATTGTAGGAGAATCATGTTAGTAGTATCCATTTGGCAATACTGTATTGTTTCTTACATTATGGAACTTCAGTTTGTTAACTCTAACCAAAATCATAAACCTGATGTTTTCAAATATATTGTGCTTTATTTTAAGAAACAATGAAAACAATTAACTTTTATGTTTTATAAATTCTTTTATAAATACTGTATCTTCATATGGCAATAACTGCTGCGTTAATTGTCACGCAACAGACAAAATAATTGTTGGTGTTTAGGACTAACAAGTGAAAGGCAGACCTATTACATGATTTTTCCCCCTAAGATCCTATCTGCCACCTGTAATTTATTATATTAAGGGTGCCAATTATAAATTTAACAATGTTCATTTGGTTAATTTACTAATTGATGGAACATGGCAACTCTGATTTCAAACTAAGGCATATAATCCATCATCCTCTTATCTTTTGGGTTCAGTGAGCAGGCTAGCAAGACAATTAAACAATCTGACTGATGCCCTACAGTCCCCCTAATTTCCCCAATACTGGTTCTTTGCACTGACTGAGTCAGTATCAACCTTGGCTTGTTCAAATTCAGGAGAACAACTATATCAATCCCTTGCAGGGAAATATTTCATGTTTAAATTTGATACGGCCTTTTCTATAACACAACCAATAGGTGTTTATTGCACATATTCCTCATCCCTTCCAGCTGTCAGGAAAGTTCCATAGCATACAGATGATAGTAATTAAAGAAAAGACAATGTCTCATTTCAAGAGAACACTATTGGCTTTTCGATTATAATTTAAAAATACAGATCTACCAACAAAAACAAACAAATAAGTAAACAAGCAACAATTGGAGCAATTGGGAGTTCTCTAGCTACATGATTCCTGATCAGAATTTGGGGAGCTGGTCCATATATCTGAAAGATACCTAGAAGCTGGTACAGATGCACCTTCTCTTGTGGGTGGCTTGACAGAGAGCTCATTCAGAATATTTAAAGGAAACTGAGGCCTATAATATATGAACTATGCATCCATCTATTATTTAGCACATTTATATAGCCACCCATCATACATTAAACTCTGGACAGCTCCTAACTAGCAATTATAATTTTGATAATAAAGCAACATGTTGTTGTTGTTGTTGTTGTTAGTTGTGAAGTCATGTCCGACCCATCGCAACTGCATAGACAATGTTCCTCCAGGCCTTCATGTCCTCTACCATCCCCTGGAGTCCATTTAAACTCACGTCTACTGCTTCAGTGACTTCATCCAGCCACCTCATTCTCTGTTGTC